TGCAGTTTTACCATTTATAAATTTGCAGAAAGCAGAAGGCTTTTGTTTTATGCATTTGTTCTATTTGTGGCTGAAATATACAGAAGCAGGCACTGTGTGCGAGTGTGTGTGTGTGGGTGGGTGCATTAGGATGCGAGTTTAATGTCCCAAGCAGCTAGCCAGCATCTAGTTTTTTTCTTGCCTTGTCTGTTTATGTGCGCCACATAAAACTATCAATTTATAGCTGCAAAACCGTTGCGCGCTGTTTCCTTTTGCTGGCGCTTCCTTTAACTTCCTGCAGACGACGCCCTCACACACACACACACACACACACACACACACACACACACACACACACTATCACACACACAGACACACGCGCGCATAGTGCATTGCGCGCTCTCGTTTCGTGGGTTTTGTTATTATTGTTGGCAGCATTTTAGGCGCCATGTCGACGAGACAACAGGCGTTTCAGCTTTGGCTTTGGCTTTGGCTCTTTGGCTTCTTTGGCTCTTTTGGCTCTGGGCATTGGGGAGTGGGCGAAAAAGGTTTTCTCGCTCGAACTTTGTTACAACATTTTTCGACTTATTTTTGCGGCGAACTCCGCTCATTCACAGGCAGCTGCGCTTTCTACTTGCATTACGTATACGTCATGGCGCACTCGCTCTCCCTCTCTCTATCTCTCTGACTGTCTCTGGTTCTCTTGCTCTTTTTCTCGCACAGTCGACAAAAATAGCAAATAGCATTTGCTTTTTAGCTGCAACACACACACAGCTACACTAGAACCTAACCTAACCTACACCATATCACCGCGCACTCAACACCTCACCCCCTCAGTATGATGCGCTGCTTAGCTGCGACTTGGCAACAGCCAAATCCTTTTTATGCTTTTGATTTTTTGACACTCGACGTGTTGTTGTTCTGGCGCTTGTTGTTTGTTTGTCATGGTTGTTGTTGCCGTTGTTGCTGCTGGTGCTGTTGTTGTTGTTGTTGATGTTTTTGAGTGTCTTAGTGTCAACATGCGTTGACTGTTTCAAGCTTATGTCCTGGCTTATGTGCCAGTTAGTAACAGGATGTAGCAACTTGGTACAGTTGTGTCTTATGCGTGTAAGTTGCTCTCCACGATCTGAACGTGATTTGCATGCAAGCATCTAGCTAAAGATTTATTGAACTTACCTCGCATATGGAATTCTGTCAAACTTCTTTTCCCAATTTGCATAAGCTGCAGCCATACTTATCGATAGAGTTTGTATTGCCTCTTAACTTGCAAAAGTTGCATAATATGATGCAATAAATAAGAAATACCTTAAGTGCTGCATTCCCTTGCAGCAGGCTCTGAGCTGGCAAAAAAGTTAAGGAACTGCCATTAAAGTGTCAGCTGCACCTCAGACATTTAGAGAAGTTAGGAGTATTATTAAACCAATCTACAAGGAATTGGGGATATATTGAAAGCTTCAACTTAAAATGCAACTGGATTGAACTTTTTAGACTATGGCTATGAAATGCACTCATGAATATTTCAGACTAAAGGCTCGTTATTCATTAACCTTTACCTTGTTTAATCTCACGTAGCTAATTACTCGTCAAAAAGTTTTGCCTTTTGTTTACAAGTTGTTATGTTTTACAAGTTGGTTTTTTGTTGAATAAAAAATTAGATTCAACCCCCTTCAAATTTTTTTTTGTAAATATTTTAATGATAAATAAATATTTTAATAAAATTGAGTTAATTATAACTGTAATTTTACATTTGCACCAAAAAATAAATATAAATTTTATTTACATTTCTTGAGAAACAATTACATTGTTATGTGTGCACGAATTGTTAACAAAGTCAGTTTTGACAACATTTTATTGCCTACCTGTAGGCGCAAGGCAACTGAAGTTTGCTTCGAATACCTGAACGAACGCTGCAAGCCAGCTGAGCTGCAATTGCAGCACAAATAAAAATACGAGGAAACTTGTGCGCGCTTATTTCGATTTATCGCACATGCCATGGGCGCCAGAGGTGTACGATGAGGAGGTGGTGGGGGAAGGGACGGAGGAGGGGGCAGTGGCAAACAAGCAAAAATCAATTTAAAGTTCAATAGCCTCGCTTGGCCCATAAGAAGAGAACTGAAAAAAAAGAGAAATAGAAAAACATGGCAAATAGAATGGGAAAGAGCGCGTCCAAATTTTAGCCATGTGACAAGTAGCAAGTTGTGCACCCACTCAAGCGCTTGCCACCCTCTCTGTCTCTCTACCTCTCTTACTCACAGTCCCTCTCTGGCTCTCTCTCTTTCTCTCTCTCTCTCTCTCTCTGCTATGCTCCATTGTTGTGTGTGTGTGTGTGTGTGTTGTGAGCTGCACAGTTATTTGTGTGTAAAATTAAGTTCAAAGTACAAAATGTGGGTTGTCGACAACTGCAATGGCTCGAATAGCTCGCCCTGCCTCGCCCCGCCTCTTCACGTTTTCACCCAACTGCAATGTAAATGGCGCAACAGCAATGCAGTCAGCATTATACTTACCACAAAAAATAATGCCCATAAAACTAATGGGCGGCGCACACAAAAATTGTTTTGGGTCAACTTTGCGTATACGCAATGCGCCTTAATTCATGCATATGCAAATGCTGTGCAGCAATTGCAATCGAGACATGCGAAATCAGCATAAATGTGAGCTCTTCGCCACGCGTGGGCTATATGGGCGTGGCATTTGACAGGGCAGCCAAACGTGCCCAAGTATCCATTGACGCAATTAAATGCGCTGGCGGCGACCGCGAAGCGCATTGATAAATGGCAATCGGCGACTCCGTTGGCGGCAACATTGTCATCGTCATCGTCATCATGATCATCATCATCATTATTATTCTCATCGTTTGGGGCTCTTCAAAATGCAAATGGCTCTTTGGCACGCCAGGGGCTTTCGGCTTATAGCGAACGCAACTCGCCCTCCCACACCCGCCTCTCTGCGCCCGGCACAATGTGCCTAACGAGGCGTTGGGCGTCTCAACTTTTTGCACCTGCCTCTCATCAATTGATTTCATGCTGACAGCAGACAACTGAGAACATGATGCCGACTTCATTTGGCAGACATACAAAATAACAACAAGACAGCTGGGCAACTAGCAGCGGGTTGCGCCACCTTCTTGGCGGGCGTGGGCTTCGGGGAGAGGGGCGGTCTGCTTAACAATTGAGTGTCAAGTTGCCCGCATTGCTTATGCACTTTTTTGCAGCTGCTGTCGTTGTCGCCGCTGTTGCTGCTGCTGCTGCTGCTGTTGTTGCTGTTTTTGTAATGCGCATTAATGTGCTGCAAGGTGATTCAGCAAATATGCAACTGCTAATGGGGAGTCGCAATATCTTACCGACAACTTGAGTACAACTCGGGACTTGCGGCTGACAAGTGTTGAAGGGCAGGCACTTAGTTTGCATTGTTGTGCTTATGGCTGTATATGTCTGTGTGTGTCAGGCACTTGTGCAGGGCCACATTAATGAATGGGCGTGTTGTAAACTACAGCTGTCATGACTGGTGTGTAAAAGTGTTGCCTACTTTTCCGGGCGTGTGAATGAAATATGCAAACGCAGCAAATATTTCAACTGCCAGCTTTCGTATGAAGAATGAAAATGATGAAAATGATTAAGAATGAAGTTATAGATCAAAGCAGAAGAGACTGAGAGTTTATAAGCTCGCCTGTAACTATAAAAGGCTCAAATAGGTAGAAATTGAATTAACACATATTATATTTGCACAATATTACCAGATCTGTGCAATTTATATTAATTCCAAGAATACTTTTGTAACACCAATTACTCGTTAAATGCTCAATGAACAACATTGAAGTTAATCTGATTACAAATAGCATAAATAAAACAATTAAATGAGCTTTTTTAATAATCTGATCAAGAAGCAAACCTGAAAAAGCAGCAATAATATTAAATGCGAATGATTGCCAGGCTCCAATTAACGTTTGTTCAACTGAACAAAAAAAAAAGCCTGCTAAATGCTTATCAAATGAATATGCTGTTAACATCATCAAAAACAGCACACAAAAAATATTACTGAGCGGCAATGAATGAATTTCATTTGGTAAAATTGTAAATGGGAAACACAACAATGTGCCAACAATCCATGTGTCTGCACACTTTGGGCAAAAAGTGCAGTAAAATTTTTTCCAATCGCTGCTACAAAAATAGTGCAGCTAAATTGCAAAAACTGGCGTGGAAAAAAACTAGAGGGGTCGTTGGTAAGGGGTAGGGTGGCTGGGTTATAAGGAGGCAGAGGTAAACCTATATGGGAAACTTCAACAAATCTCAATACGCAAACATGTAGCCAGGAGCAACAATGGCAAGAGTGGCAACAAAAACAACATGCACACACATATGTGTGTGCGCGACGTGTATGTGTGAGTGCGTGCGTATGTGTGTGGCAGAATGGCTGAAACTAAACCGGAGGCGCCAACATGTCCTACAAGTGATTTATTTTTATGTATTTGTTTGTAGAGAGCAAAAAAAAAACACCGTCGAGAAAATGCCACAAAAAATAAAGTTTTCCTTGTTGTTGCTGTTATTGCTGCTGCGTCGATGCAAGCGTAGCCTGGCTCGCCTATCCTGTAAACGGCAATGGGTATCCTGCGAGCACAGAATGTAGTAAAGTAGCAAGCGTGCAACTATTTATAACAGCGTGAGCCGCTAAGCGGCATCATCGACAGGGGGTATAAGAGGAGGATACACAAACAAAATGTCGAAAACAGAAAGAGAGCGGGAGAGAAAGAGAGAGAGAGAGAGGGTGGGGGCGGGCAAACGGTATAGCATACTTTTATGCGGGTGTCGTTGCAACTTGCAACATTTAGACGCAAATCATGGCGGACATTAGCGTGCGCAAAGTTTTGCCTCGCAAGTTGAACGATTTATGTGGAAAGTTGTTACCTGAGCAGCGTGTAGGAGGGTAGGGTCAGGGTAGCTGCCGCAACATTATGAATAAAACTATTTTGACTAACTGTGCAACCTGTTTCATTTCGTGTTTATATGTTTGTTGTGCCTTTGCAGAGTGCCCCACCGCAATGGATGGCATGGAGCGCTTCGCATGCCCCACACCGGATCTGCAGGGACGCTATCGTTGCATAGATGATCATGTGCTATGCGATGGCTTCATCGATTGCCCGGAGGGCGAGGATGAGGACCGAAGATCCTGCATGTTCTACAAGACGGTAAGCACAACAGATCCCAAACCCCGTCTATCTCCAAAAATGTTCTCAAATAACGCTCTTTCTGGTTGGACTTTTTTTTCTCAATTCCAGACGAAAGCTCATTTGGATGTGTTAGCGGATGCGTTACTACGCTGGGCGCGGGGGCGTTAAGTCCGAACAATACCAGCACACGAAGACACCTTGATAAACACACATACACACACACACTTGATTAAAAAAAAACACACATAGAGAACCCACTTTAAAAATAAATTACAATTAGTTTTATGCTAAATATTTAACATTAATCGTGCAAACCTATTAAGTTTAAACATGGACAGGCACAACACTCACACACACACGCACACACACACACAAACACACACACACATACTCACACACATACTAACCACTCCGCCTGCCCACACCCTCAAAAGTAAAAAAAGTATTGAACAAAATGCAAAGTTGTGGTATGTAAAAATCCAAGTAAAACAAGTACTAATAATGGCAACAAATATTTAAAAAAACGATATGATTTGATCTATTATTACACTATTATTAATTGAAAAATAAAACAAAAACACAAAAAAAAACTACCAGTCAAGAAACTATTTAAAAGATAAACAAAAGATATCTAAAATGGCGTTAAATTTTCGAAAAGTAAAAAAACAAGTGGAAAATTTTGTCGCAAAAAACTTGCCCAAGTTTGTTTTCTTTTATTGTTTTGCGCATTAAATCGGGCCTAAGCTATTTTTAGTATATATATTAAAGAGTATTCAAAATATATTAAATATATATATATATATATATATATATATATATATATATATATATATATATATATTTATAAATATATATATACATATGTATATGTATATGTGTATTTTTTAATATATATGTATATGCATATATATATTTCGTGTACATTATTTAAATATACGTGTATTAAAGTTTAAATGTTAATGCAACAAAAACAAAATAAAATAAATAAAAGCGAAAGAGAAGAAAATATTGAAAATAAATCAAAAAATGCGTACATGAGCGAGCTGAAGAGCTGACAGTAGGGGAAGAGCAAAAGGGTTATATATACATATACAAATGAAATGATGAAAAACGAAAAACAAAAAAATTCAAAACAAAATATGAAAATGCAGACATTAATTATATATAGTAAATATATACATATAACAAATAAATATACAATTAAAAATTGACATAGGTTTTATTGCAATGATAATGCTGATAATATGAACACGAATGCGATTGCGTATGCCACAGATAACTGATTAACGATTATCATTCGATTGATAATGTCGATAACTAACAATGCTGTAGGTCTACGCATGTCTGAATGATATATAAAAAAACAATATATATATATATAACAATATATATATATATATATATATATATATATATATATATATATATATATATATATATATATATATGTATGAAAGAAAGAGCAGGAAAACATTTACAAACTAATACAATGAAGGTATAACATTTACATAACAAAAAGACTTGACTTGATTTTACTTATTATGATTGATTATTATGCGTATTATGCATTTAATTTACAATTATTATGCTAAAGAGCTTTTCACCTTCAAGATATTTTGGCTCATTTTGTACATTAGTTGCTGCATTTTCGTATATTTCGTCTAAGTCAAATTTATCTCACCTTATGATTTCTTCATATATGAAACAGTTCTCATGGAAATGGCAGCTATTTGTAGTTAAGAAAATTTATTTAAAACAAGTATATTTAACTAACAATGGACTTATAAATAAATAAAGAAACAAAACCCTTAAAATTTATACAAAAAAACCAAAATTTATATTATTTAGTTAAAGCCCTGTAAAACCGCTAACAACAAAAAACAAATTCGACATAAAAAATCAAAATATATTTATTTCGTACTGACTTCGCCATTTAACTCCGCTGATTTTTGTTCCCCCCCGCTAAGATGAGCGCAAATACAACCGTTGACTGTGCTAAAAAACTATAAAATATAAATATACAAATGACAAACAAACAAATGAAAAAAGTAAAATTTTTAATATTGCAATATTGTTATTATGCATACAGAGTTACAACAAACAATCAATTAAGAAAACAATCAAGCAAATTTTTAAACACAAAAAAAAAACGAAAAAAAAAAAGTTGAGACGGTTGTGTATGCGTCACGGTAACAAATTAATAACAATTAAACAATACAAAAAAAAAAAAAAAACAAATAATTATTTGTAAAAATTCGAATGCTTAAAGTAAAAGTCTATTAACGTGTTTTGGAAGCTATTCAAACGTATTCTCGTCTTTGTTTTATAAAACCTTCAATGCCAACTTTTATGTAAAGAGTAAAAGAAAAAAACAAAAAAAAAAAAACTACATCAAAATTATATATGAAATAACATATGAAATTGCGAGCAATAAAATTTCATATCTTATACACAGTACGTATAAAATGCAAGTAATTATAATCAATTAAAAAAGTCTTTATCGATAAGATTTACTTTATGATTTTCTTATGTGCTGACACGCAGCTCAAATGCGCAAAAAATGCAATTTACAAAACAAAACAAAAATAAGTTTAATATAAATATGAATATAAATATAAATATAAACAAAAATAAATAAATAAAAAGCATCTCCCGAAAACAAGGCCCCGGTCTGAGAGCTCTGTGTCCCTGCGATAAGAACGATCTTCGTTGAAAATATGAAATACTAAAAGCCAATGTTCGTAATCTAAATAAAAACAAATCGTTTTGGGTTTCCTTTTCTCATTTCATTTCAATTGACTTTTTGATTTACTATATTCTATTAATAACTGCAAAATAACCCACCTTTAAATATTAAAGATAATATTAATAACAAATAATATAAACGATTTCTATACCGGTGTAATAACTCTACATAAATGTTGCTTACTACGAAAAACAAAAACGAGGAAATTAAATAAAATGTATAAAACTATAAGTAAATTAACAAATATATATGTATAGATATATATATATGCATATTATCCTTGCAAACATTACACACAAAACCAAATCAAAAAAAATTTAAACAAATCCTTAAACCCAAATAAAAGCGCACTAACAAAAAAAACAACAACCGAGGACAACTAAACCGAAAACAAATCAAAGTAAACCAAATGCAAAGCGACAGATAAAAATTTTAATGACATTTTTGAATGAGAATTGAAATGAACGGAAAATATACATATACATCTATTTTTGGCCTATTTTTCTATAACCGAAACATGAGAGGTAAAAACAAAAACAACAACTTTTTAAACTGCAACAAAAAGCGAACAAATCGAAAAACTTTTATAACATGAAATAGAGCAAAAATATCGACCGTTATTTTGGTGTGCGTTCATGTAAATACACATAAGTTAATTTCTTTCGATATGTGTCTCTTATCAGTATATTCACTTGATTCTCATATAAACTTACCTTGATTTGTCTTAAGTGTTTTTTAATTTAACGAAGATCGTTTCAATATTTTGCATTTCCTTGACTTGACTTTTTTTAGGCGGCCAACAAAACGGCATGCGAATTGTGTGTACAAATTTGTATATAAACGTTATTAACAAAATATCAATGAAAATCAATTTGGGTTTTTGTGTTTGGTTATTTGTTTCCATTTTTGCGACAAGAATTTTACATTAACGTTTTATTTAAGTACAACATAATACACATATTTAATTTAAGCATAGCGAAAGTAAAAACGTAAACCTAGCCAAAAACAAAACAATATTAAACACAAAAAAAAAAATAATTGAAAAGAAAAAAACAACATAGTTTCTTGAACATAAACCATGCAAGTATGATAACAGATAATTGTTAAATGTTTACAGTAAAACACATATACAAGTGCATAGGCAAAACACCCAGACACACATACACACATACACACTAGAAATATACACACATACGTACACATATATACCGTTTAAGTATATGCAACACTCATACAACACAGTGAGAGTCAATATGCAATGAAAATGAATGAAGAAAACATTTAAAAAATAGATAACACTACTTGTATTTATTTGTATTTGTATATTAAATGAAAAACCCAACAAGAAAGGAAACTGAAAATAAAAAAGGAACTTTAACTATTAATGTAGCAAATGGCCTAATATTCAATGCCATTCGCACAATTTTTTAACAACCTAATTACAATTAAAAAACAAAATAAAACAAAAACTAAGTTCAATTCGAATTCTAATTTTAATCTATTTGTACTTTGTATTTGAATTTGTATTTGCTGTACATAAGTTTAGCCTGCCTCTCTCTCTCTCTTTCCCCTTTATGTTAAATCTTTGATTTAGAAAGCAACTAGTTGATGATGATTAAGATAATGATGATGATGTATAATGTGCGCATTTTTTGCGGCCATTTTTTTAGTATAATTATAATTCCATAATTATTATTATTATAATTATATTATATAATTATAATTCCATTATAATTTACTGTTTACATATTGAATATATTAATAAATTATATATATACGAATATTATAAAATACAGAAAAACGAAAACAAAGCAAAACAAAACACAAAAAGCAAACAAAAAACTATACATGAAGATGAAGAAAACAAATACACAACTTAATATACACTGAAAACAAAACAAACTATGCATTTCTGATTTCCTTTCTATATACACACTCTCTCTCTCTCTTTCTGTCTCTCTCTCTCTCTCTCTCCCACAACAGATGAGTTTTAACTAACTTTATTATAATTTTAATTCGTTTTTTATTGTTGCATTTTCTTAATTTTGTTCTTTTATGGAATCTGCATTTTCGTTCACAGATCTGTTGTAGAAAACTAGCTTTTAATTACTTTTCAACAGCTTAAAACTGTTTCCATTTAATACTTTTGTTTTACTTTAGAATCATGAATCACTTATCCTTAGCTTTCTTTTCTATAACTCGTTACTGCTCTAAAAGACAAAGTCTCTCCACAACAACAACAACAACAAAAACTACTTTACACAGCACATGGTTACAACTGTTGCAAGCACTACGCATACAGTAAGTTCTCATTATTAACTACCTATATACATATATATTTATATATATTTTAAGCTAGCCCATTTTTTCACATATTTTTTTTTTGGTTTCTTTTCTTTTTGTTTGTTTTTGGCTGCCTGAC